ACCCCCAGTCACAAACATTTGAAAGCCAAGGACTTATTCACCTTCTCTAGCCACTGGACAATGAGGGCTCTTTACAACTCAAATCATTATTTATCACTCGAGGTGTTTTGCGTTGTCGATTGAGAGCGTGTGGAGATGGGAATAATGTGTCTCTGTGTTCTCTCAAAGCTGTGCATCAGAACGGACTGTCAATGAACCAGGCGTTACTGGGCCTGTCTCCCAGCATCTTACCTGGGCCTAAAGAGGGCGATCTGGCAACTCATGACATCAGCCACGAGGCCAAGAGAATGCACCTGGAGAAAGGTCAGAGTTCAGTACATTAAACAACACATAACACTATTGTTCCCTTTCAGTCAGTCACTACGAGTTACGTCGTGACCGACGAATTGGGATCTTGCTTAGAGAGACCAATCCACTTCGAGTGTAAACTAAACGAGTCAATGCACATTGGCATGCGATGATTGCATCCAGCTGCCGCTGATCACAGCATGAGCATAAAAAGGCAGCCGGTGCAACGCATACCAGCTTTTCGCTTCGAAGCCGAGCGACAACATCATTCTGCTCCTACGAAACTGCTTCGTGTGTGACGAGTCTAGCGCGCTCTCGGGAGCTTTTTGTGTTGGCGGATGGTGCTTCAGCGGTGGTCGTTCCTGTGTCGAGTGGGTTGCGCACTTCAGGCTGCATTACCCCCTCTCGTGCTGCAAATGGCCGTTTCCTCTGTGCGTCTCAGCACGTAAAAGAGCATTTCCCTAAAAGAGCCAGTTTCTCTAAAAGACTACAATAAGCGGGTCTTATTGTCTAATAATAATCGTCAATAATTGTCTTTTTAAAGATGCCATTTCACCCGTGCGTTTCTGGATGCTGTCGCTACCTGGTGCCGGGTGATGGTCACGATCGCTGCCTCACGTGTCTGGGCATTAAACACGCTGAGGTGGCGTTCACGGATGAGTCATGTTCCCATTGCGGGAAGATGACCATCTCGGAGCTGCGGGCCAGGCTCCGTTTCCTCCAGCGGGGCGGAGCTCCAATGACCTCTGCCACGATCTAGTGTTCGTCCTGGCGGCAGCCAGGTGGGTGGAGCTCCGTTGCCTCTGCCGCGATCTAGTGCTCGTCCTGGCGGCTGCCAGGCGAGGGCTACTTCCAGCAGTAGCACGGGGGGTTTGAGGGTTACAGCGGTGGCAAACCCCTCAGGGAACCAACCCTCGGGGGACTATCGCTCCTCTGGCGCTTCGCAACCAGTTAAGCTGCCAAAGGACTGGGCCCTCTTCAAAGAGCGTACCAGCGGTATCCTTCGGTGCTCCTCCCGACGACCAGATGTCAATCACTGCATCAGAGGGAGAGCTCTCTGGAGAGGAAGATTCGGCTGCGCTGCCGCCTTCCGGGATGGTGGCAAGGCCTGAATTGGATCCAGAGATGTCGGCTATGCTTTCCCAGGCCGCCTTTTACTGCCGGAAACCGACCTGCTGGTTCATCCTCCCTCACCACCCTT